TCTATTTATAGAATTAATAATCGTCTCGTAAGATTAATATATTGTATGCACAAAATGCATATTATTTGACTATATGTGACGCCAATCTTGTGTTGTATCAGTCATAAAGTTATGTTGTATTATAACAGTTTTGACGTTTTCTTTGTTTGACAGTCATGAAGTTATCTTGTTATAACAGTCTTGACGTTTCTTTGTTATAACAGCCATGTGTTATCTTGCGTTATAATAGTCATGAAGTTATCTTGTGTTATAACAGTCATGAGATTATCTTGTGTTATAACAGTCATAGAGTTATCTTGTGTTATAACAACCCTGAAGTTATCTTGCGTTATATTGCGTGGGTGGGTTGTTGTTGTATTGCTCGTTGCTCCTTTTTTGGGTGTGCTTTGTTTGTTTGTTTGGGTTGTTGTTTTTTTGTTTGGGTTTGTTGTTGTTGTTTGTTTGGTTTTTTTGGGGGTGTATTCTAGGAGGAGGGGAGGGGGGAACTTATTGGGTATTGCAATACTTTTAGCAATAGTCCAGTAGTACTGCGCCGGGGATCGTATGTGGGGACACCGTCAGTGAGTGAGTTGGTTGACTCCACTTTGAGCATTATCCAGTAATATGATCTTCATGTGTGAGGAGAGCCCGAAGTAACGCAGGTCTCACTGTCATACATCTCGCCAACATGTGTGTGGGGCTGACAGACAGACCTTGAGACACAATGTTAACAGCCTTCGAGTGCGCCTGATGGACGCAACCCTGCACGGCGAACTACACGTGACCTGCTCCGCCATTGTGCCCAATGGTTTGTTTGTTGGTTGGTTGGTTTGTTGTTTATGACTTGTGCGTCTGGTTGGTTTTAGTCGGATCACCATTTTTATAGATTCCCGTGCTTCTGTTCACACGGCATAAACATTTGACATGACATAGAGGTAGTTACACATGTTGGTATGATGTTTAACGCCGCACTCGGCAATATTCCATATATATGGCGGCGATCTGTAAATAATCGAGACCAAACAATCCCTTGATCAACAGCATGAGCATTAATCTACGTAATTGGGATACGATGACATGTGTCAACCATGTCAGCGAACCTGACCACCCGATCCCATTAGTCGCCTCTAACGACAAGCATGGCTTGCTGTCAAAGATCATAGGCGGATCCAGAGGGGGTGGGGGTGGGGGTGGGAAAGGTGTGCACCCCTCCTTTGTCCAGAAAGTCCACGCACACACACAGACAGACACACACAGAGACAGACACACACAGAGACAGACACACACAGAGACAGACACACACACACACACACACACACACACACACACACACACACACACACACACACACACACACACACACACACACACACACACACACTTCTCAAAAAGCTGTATCCGCCCCTGAAGATAAAGACTAACCCATAGTCCTACCCAGTAGTGTTACGGTCAGATGAGCTGAGCGACCTTAGTTGTCATGTCATAATTAAGCATGCTCATGTCTTTTAATCAATCAGGTATCAGCATTTTAAACGATTTGCTTTGTTCTTTAAAAGTTGAGTCACAGATTCGGAAATAACGATCCTTATTGAAACCCAACGCAAAACTAAAATATTCTCTTAATGATACAAGAATTGATAGTAATAGAATATAACCATGCCACGTCGTCCTTTGGTCAAACCTGACACCATAGTTCCACACACAAGGAGCTTTTTTCATCTGTCATTGCATAACTGAACAACGGGTAAAGTTCTATGGACAAACAACTTCTTTGAGTTGTTTATTCGTGTAAGCGACGTTTCGGTGTAGATGCTAACACCATAGACCTTTCTCCGGAGTTCATTACACCAACTTCCACATGCCACTCAAAGAAGTCAGTGTTTAACTTGTAGGAAATAGCTATTTGAGAATGAACAGGGACAAGCAGTGTATGAAATAAGGCCCGTCCGACCGCCCGAGACGGGCTAGATTTCTGACGACGGTCTAGATTTACAGCTAGCCAGCCCGATGATCTGGTAAAACTTTTAGATGTTCCATACATATCTTGGTGTCTGGTCTGGTTAAATCCATTTTGGGCTGGTAACATTTTGAAGTTACCAGCACTGATGTCTGACTGGGTTTTTGGCTTATTTCATAAACTGCGGAAAAGTCAATATATTCGCGAGTTTTGAAATATTCTTTTTCATTTACGTTGTATTGATGTCAAACACATGCGCTATTTGTCAATGCAAGATACACGGTTTATCTGTTCAAGAGCGTCGTATTCTCAACAAAAGCAAACACGTAAAAATGAAATTTTAAGGTTAGTCCATTATTTTCAGAAACATCCCCGCCAAATCTTAAGAAACTGTGCCCGTCGGTGGAATCGAACCCGGGTCTGCGCCGAAACAACTAGCACTGCACCATCTCACTGACGTCATTTTATGAACGCGTGAACTTAATATCAACCATTATCAAGAACAATAATCATAAGGCCTTGTATCATCATTACTAGAAAACACGAACACAACAATAAACAACAGAAAAAAACGCTTTGTAAGTTATAACATTTATTTGTGGTTGGTCGCAAAATATATGTTTTACATTGTATTTTGTTCACAGGAACACAACACTATAGATTTCAATGTGATCACCGGCAACAGAAATATTGTGATTCTTTTGTCTAATCTACATAAAACATAATGGCATGCATTACAAGTATATAACACATGTTCTTAACATATAACACTGTGGCAAAATACACATTCAAAGAAGTATTTCAATAGATATAGCACTCCACTTTTGCGGGGTGATGTTTACACTTTTCAATGATGCACAAAACGCATTCTCATAATGTCACGTGTACATTTAAATACCATGACTTATTATCCTTAGCAAGGGTTGAGTAGTATAGTTCTGGTTGACAAAAATGATTGTAGGAATGTCCTCCACCTTATTAACTTAAATAAGGTCCAGTGTGTCGAGGCACCAAATGTATCACCCGATCGTGAGTAAGGTTAATCCTACTAAACGTCCAATGTACAGATAAAAGATTATCTTTGATCTGTTCCCTATTTCATTTTCGTTTTTCACCGTACACAAATAACAAGGATCTAAAATACCACCATCTAAAAAATCAAACCACATTCATGTACGTGAGACATTATTCGGAAGCTTACTGATTAGAACTACAGATTTGGTTTTGTGGAGGGTATTAAGCAGAATAGAGATAATAACACTGTACAAACGAAGATGATTCAAGAGGCATGCATCGTTTAAAAAGTGTGGGATAAGACGATTGGAATACATCAACCTGAAAATGTTTTCGATATTTATGACGATATATGTCAAACATTCAAAGTTGAAGGGGGCTGCCTTAATATTTTGAGTTATCCAAGTATCGACACAAACGCAAAATGATGACGAAATATGGAATAAGCGGTAGTTCGACACATATTTCGAGACAACCGTGTTTGTATACAATAAGATCGACACCAGCCTATAACATTATAGTAGCTATTCGAAGTATCGACACAAACGCAAAATGATGAAGAAATATGGAATAAGCGGGGAGATCGACACATCATATTTCGAGACAACCGTGTTTGTATACAATAAGATCGACACCAGCCATAATATGATAGTAGTCCTAATGACACAATATAATTTGGCCTCAACGAGCATGTTATTCTGTGGAAGCAAAGTCTAAAGTAATGCAGGCTTTGGTTGTTATGGCAACTGTACTGCCTCGCTGTGCATATGTATTTATGCGGGTTCCAACATATGTATCCATTATGTTTCTAGGATTGTCAGTACCATATCCCATTCTCTTCCCACAGAGGTTACTTGTCATATCTTCCTACGAACCTCTGTTCTAATACGGCCCTTTCATGGTGCGAGTGTTCGGGATTCGTGATTGGTTGCAATCAGATTTAGTTGTGCAATCAGCGACGTTGTTTAAAATTTGATCATTCGCAAGGCCTCGGTAATTTCCGTATGCTTCGGGAAAACTAGAACCTCTTCCCCCGCGCGATGCGCAAACGTTTCTTCTAGACAGAACTCAGCCATGTAATGGCGGATCAATTGCGTCTCCATCGCCCTCGTTGACAACGGACAAGCTAGCCATTTAATTAATTTAATTGTGTCACATCAAAGTAAGTCCCCGGCAGAGGAGGGATATTTGTGGCCCCATATTTCCTTGCGTTAGTTAAGTTGGATCTAAGGCGATGTAACACGTGTTCTGATTGGATAAAAGAAGGGAGATAATTTGTGTTACGATATTTTGCCGCTAGGGGATTTTACGAGAACCGGGAAATATGGCCGTATTAGAACAGAGGTCCGTAGGAAGATATCTCTGCGGGAAGAGAATGTACCATATCCGTACTCGTGTGTTTCAATAAATGTTGTAAACGTCTCAGATCCGCCTCACGTCGGGTTTACCTCCCACTTCGAGCTGACACCCTGTGATATACGACTACTGTTTAACGCCACCTCACTCACTCACTTAACCACTCATAAAAGGATCGCCATATTCAAAGGTTTTGAAATCTTTAACAGTGAAACCTTGTTTTTGTGGAACCTTGTATTTCCAAACGACAACCACGGGAACGAAATATAGCTGAGAAATACAGTCCCTCCACCATCATGTATAGTGCTATAAAGTACACTTTTGCCCTGAACTGTTATAGTTAAAGTACGAGGACGATTGCATCCGAGTGATTTAACGTTATAATAGTACTTTATTACACTATACACTTAAGTGTACTTTATTACACTATATATATGGGTAGAGCGAACTGTATTTCTTTTCTTAGATGCCAAATTTAATACTTACCGACAACAAATCTAAGGTAGAAAACAAACAGAAAAACGACGGTGTCGGTGACCTAACTTAACAATCCTCGTTCACGGCTTACTGACGTGCTGTTCTGTTTATGTGTCTGCCCCCTACGTTAAGACGCACGTTACCAGAATAAAACAAATGGTAAACAGTTTGATGTCGGTTTACGTTCGGATTAAATATCTTCTCTAACTTATTTTAATGCATCTGTGATTAACTTAAACCATGTGGGGCAATATGAACGTCGCATTTCTACTACCAACGTAAGTTTAGAACCCTAAATCCAAATGAAGGTGACTAGTCACGCGACATTCCAGGGATGCATTGTGGGACTGTAAACGTTGCGAACGTTGCCGTGTCGCTGATCAATTGTGAGTCGAGCTGAGTCATTTTATCTCCACCTGTGATGTTAACAGCAAACCAGAAACGGGGTGCTACGGAGTAGTTTACTGTAGGAGGCTGTACGAGGCGATGACAGCTGACATGCATCGTGACGTCGGTTACCAAGGGTACGTATAAAAACGAGGGGGCAGACGAGAATGGCGTATATAAGTGACGTCAATACAGTGTAGTGTAGTCATGCAAAAGTGTACTTTATCGCCGGCGTATTGTCGACATATTAGAATGTACAATAATTCGTACAGTAAATCGTTGTTTAATCCTGCAATGTGTCAGACAGTTTCTCTTGGATTGAGTTAATTGGTTTGGTTGTTCACCATTTCATCATGGGAATAATCTGCCGATCACATCGTCCTTGCTCTCGTACGCTGCATTTAGTGACGTCCTGTTTTACGAATTCTATAGACGAGACGTTCTAAGCATTGTTCAAACAGGTCCAACATCAATTCCATGACAGTCCCACATGTAATATGCATTATTCTGGCGGTTGCGGGTACGATAGTAACTCACACATGAGTAACCTCCCCTTATTTGAACGTCCTTGATGGGCTTGGGACTCTTTGTTGACAGTTGAATTAAACACTTGTGGATATGATAGCGACGAGGTAGTTTGTATTGAACGATGTCATATCCCTCTGCAATAGTCGGGGTAGTTTCGGTAATCTCTGTCCATCTGTGCTGATAAATTCGTATGTAAATGTCCGATTGAAGACTAGACGCATTGATATGCACGGATTCTCCCCAAGACGGGATTTCAAGGCCAAAAACCGGCATTGTCGTATTTGACACGGTGATATTGAACATGGTCATGTTGTGACGTAAGTAGTGCACGTGATGCTCAGGGTCACAAGGCTCGATTCCTACTTTCTTAAATGCACGTGCAAACGGTTCTCCGGGTTGACCCAAGTCGTAAGCAGAAAGCATGACGTCACACGCACCGGTTTGAAAGGTCGTCATGGGGTGCCAGTACAACCGGTTTGCGTGCAGAAACACTCGGTAAACGTCGGCAGGGAGTAATCCATATTCATGAGCGAGGAGGTAAAATACGTGATTGAATATTCCACTGGTGTCATGGGTGTTCATGTCGTCCCGGTATTCGCTGACATGAGATAAGGATCTGTTATCAAAATAACGCATTGATCCATCCACCTGTATGGCATACCCGACCCTCCAGTCGATCGTGTCGGCGTACAGTTCAGCCATTTCGCCAGTTATGTCCGAAAAAGCTTCGTTGATGGCCCCTGCTTCCCCCACATACATCAGCTGGGAATTCTGTTCTGTAATTCCGTGCGCTATCTCATGTCCTATTATGTCCAGAGAGGTAAATGGATAGGAAACACCAGGCACCCCGTCCCCAAATGAACAGTTGTGGCCGTTCCAGAAGGCATTGGTGAACAGATGGGAATAATGGACTCTGAGAATCATTTTTTTATTCAGTGGCTTGGAATCGAACCATTCTTCAAACATTTTACCAACGATGGTTCCGTGGTAGAGGGCGTCGAGTGCAGGGGAGTAGGCGCCATTTATACGGTCGCCGTAACGCCTGAAGCAATAGAATTTAGCAGTCTGCGTGAGGTAGTCCAGTTCAGTGTTGTACATGTCCACAACTTTCACGTGTTTATTTTCGAGGTAGCACGTTCCGCGTCTCTGTTTCAGATCAAGACAGGTCGGAGAGATACCATACTTGATTTTACCAATTTTTCGATTTCCACCAAACACTCGACCCCTCATGTATGATCGACAGGTTGCCAAGTTGTCCCATGCACGGATTATCTCCCCTGTTTTTATGTTAATTATTCCCGTGGGTCTTTTCTTGACATGTCTGGTCTGAATTAGATACTCCAGCATGGCGACGCGGTGGGCGACGTTGTTGTCGTCCACGTAAAAGTTGCGTCGTATTTTGCGGCTCCCAATATCATTGACATGCTTTTCATCTTTGAAGTGACCGATCAAGATGTCAAAAAGATCATCTTTCTTCAATGAAGGCGTTCGTCGATGGACATCCTTGTGGATTTCTTGCACGAAGTGACCATGCGCATCTAAAGGAGTTTCTCCGTCAGTTGTCATGGTAACAACAGTATCAAACACATCTTTACCTCGGTATTTTTCGACCAGTTTCAACTGTTTGGTTCCCTGGGCTGTGGTTGCTTCTGCCTTAACCTCGAAAGTTTCTCCATCTGTTAGACCGAATATGTCAGCTAGAGATCCTGTTGACCTTTTGTACCGGATGTGACGTGGGACGTTGCCATGGAAACTTGCAAGTCGATCTCTAGCGTTAACCCGGACGGCTGCTTTCGTGTAGGAAAACAAGACGATTGTCACTGCAAAACAAAGAGGAAAAGGACAATTGAAATACTTCGCTTAGATAAAACAAGAATGCTGACAAGAAAACTCAACAGCAAAAATATATATACATGTATGGGAGTATGTACTCTTCTGTCTTTATCTTACTTGACGTTCAAACCTATGCGTGTAGTTCGAAATGCAAGAATATAAATGTGAATTTGATGAGCTGCCTTTTTATTTTATATGCCACATGTAATTGGGTGTTGAATGATATATGAGGGGAATAAGATTCTCTCTCTCTCTCACTCTCTCTCTCTCTCTCTCTCTCTCTCTCTCACACATTCACAAACGAACGAATGAACGTCAGTAATGAATTTAGTAACCTCTTACACAATCATGGGAACGAATGAACGTCAGTAATGAATTTAGTAACCTCTTGTTACAACATGTGTGTGTGTGTGTGTGTGTGTGTGTGTGTGTGTGTGTGTGTGTGTGTGTGTGTGTGTGTGTGTACTAGGGCTAATGCGAATTGTGGGTGACTGAGCGAGCAGTAACATAATGGACTGCTCACGTGGTATGAATGCAACACCGTTGAACCAGTTGAACTCTAACCAGTGTTCAGCCCACCAACAGAAGAAGAAACGAGGATATCGATAAGGATAGGGCATCTATGGTTTCTCGATCTACGGAGTAAAAAGTCGGGGCGTGTGTCATACATGTAATAAACACTATCCCTGAGGGGTGACAGAAACCAGATGGGGCCTTGACTCCTCGGGCAGAGAATTCAGACGTTTAACATAATTTGAATTTCTCGAATCGTTCTTTGTGTAGGCACCTCTGACAAACAACAGCCAGCTCAGCGATTTAAGTCTAGCAATTTACTTGCAGCTACCGAGTTCTCGCTGCTTGTATCTCAAGGTTATCATACGCAGATGCGGAGGTGGGAGCAGAGATGATCCCGTACCCTCCCGACACCCAATCTCTCCCCATAAATAAACACACACCCCGCGTTATGGAAAACGTACAGATACAACATTATAATTACATCATTTATAACAAAATGACATTTCTCTGATTAATGTTTGGGTCACAAACGCAAAGTGTTTGTCGAATAAGTTCGTGCAAGCATATTTGTATTATATGTGCTCAATTACACACAAACCAACACCATTGCTATGTCTCATTAATAAATAGACCGCCTCCGTGGTGTAGTGGTTAGAGCGTCCGCCCGGAGAGCGGAAGGTCGCGGGTTCGTTCCCCGGCCGCGTCATACCAAAAGACATTAAAATATGGTACTTGTTGGTCCCTGTCTGGCGCTCGGCATTAATGGACTGGTCGGCTCTTAGTCAGTATAATGTGTCGGAGTGGGGTATTCATGCTTACCTGCAGCATGGTATCTCAGAGAGCTTGCACTATAAAACCAGCTTAAGTCTGGGCTAGTACAAGCAGCCACACCTACACACGCATGCACGTCGTCAAATGAGCGAAATATTCTTAAGTGCGACGTTAAACGACATTTCACCTCACCATAATAAGTATCCTTTATTTATATCCCATGAAATGCATAGAGCTACCGATGGCGTGTTATTTATATTTGTTTAGAAAGTATCATTTAAACTATTAATCATTACCTTGGAGACAACCGTCTGCGTGGTGTAGTGGTTAGAGCGTCCGCCCGGAGAGCCGAAGGTCGCGTGTTCGACCCCCGACCGTGTCATAAAAAGACGTTAAAATATGGTACTTGTTGGTCCCTGCCTGGCGCTCGGCATTAATGGGTACAACAAGGACTGGTCGGCTCGGAGTCAGTATAATGTGTCTGAGTGGGGTATTCATGCTTCACTGCGGCATGGTATCTCAGTAGGCTAGCACTATAAAACCAGCTTCAGTCTGGGCTAGTACAAGCAGCCACACATACACATACACACGCATGCATGTCGTCATATGAGCGAAATATTCTCAAGCACGACGTTAAACCCAATTTCACCTCACCTCACCTCACCTTGGAGACTTATACAAGTCTAACACTGTACATGATCTGTCTGATAACACATGCATGAAAATAGATGTGTGTTGATCAGTAGAATCTATCACTTGAAGTGTACATTTAAATACTTATTTACATGTATCATTAACTTTCTGCTTTTTGATTAAACACATCTCTGTTGATTGAATGGTCTCTCGATCTATACTGCCATGAAAAATAAAATATACACCCTTCTTTGACGGTGGCTAAAACGAAATAAAAAAGAAATGGTTACTGGATGACGATATACTGCATAGGCGTACTATAGCTGTTTGCAATGTTCCGGCAATCGTTTTGTTTTTTATCCTAACGTTTTAATAATGTTTATATTGTCTTGGTCATATTCAATCTTCAAATATGCGTGTTTTGTCCGGCAATGTATTTCTCTCGCCGTGTCATAGTGTGATGTTCATTTAATCTATCCATTTATCCCTCATGGGTACAATGTGTGAAGCCCATTTCAGGTGTCCCCCGCCGTGATATTGCTAAAAGCGGCGTAAAACTAAACTCACTCACTCACACCCATTTATCATTTCGAGTGAGTGAGTGAGTTGAGGTTCATGCCACTTTTAGCAACATTCCAATAACATGAGAAACGCCAGAAATGGGCTTCACACATTATACCCATGTGGAGAATCGACCCGGGTCTTTGGCGTGTCGAACGAACGCTTTAACCACTGGGCTACCCTACAAATGTACAAAATCTGTTATGTGAATTCACTTATATACAAGAGTGAAAAGAAAATTTATAATAGATCTTAAGGTTGTGTAAAATGAATTTTGCTGTTGAAAAACTGCTCTCTTTGCCACTTTTTGCTCCTTCATCACCTGGTGTATCAGCAAGAAAGAAGTAGCTCTCAAACGTCGTGACAAAGAATAAAAGTTGTTATCAATAAAAACTTTCATGTATGCATGATTTAGATGTAATTAAGAGGGGTCGATGTTCTTGCTGGTAGACTCAATTTCTCCGAATTTCGTTGTAAGCTCCGTAGACTTTATCAATTTTGCTGAGTCAGCTACAAAACAAAATGCTTGGCCGACACATTAAATCTGCCCCCAACTGTGTTTCAAAACAAACATATTTCTTAAACGTTTCTCATTACGCAGGGGACTATCCGCACTTGAACACAGCAGTCGTACGCCAGCACTAACATATCGTTTTGGACTGAAAACACGATCGGTCTGATTGTGACGATTCTGATTGACAAGCCGTCGTTTATGGCCTCTACGTTTGGTGTAGTATGTTTAGGAGTTTTGGAATCCGGTGTTCTTGGGTTCGATTCCCGCTATGATAATGATTTAGTGTTTATCAGTATCAATGTTAGGGTTTGTGGATAATAATATTGTCACTATTGTTGAAAGCACAAACCTATATCAATGTTAGGGTTTGTTGATAATAACATTCTCACTATTGTTGACAACATATACGTCTATCAGTGTAAGGCTTTGTTGACAATAACATTGTCACTATTGATGACAACACAAACGTAATTCAATGTTAGGGTTTGTTGACAATAACATTGTCACTATTGATGACAACACAAACGTTATTTAATGTCAGGGTTTGTTATTGATAACATTCTCACTATTGTTGACAACATATACGTCTATCAGTGTAAGGCTTTGTTGACAATAACATTGTCACCACTGTTGACAGCACAAACGTATATCGAATTGTTTATCAGTGTCATAAGTGTCACTGTTAATGATCAGACTATAATTCCAAGAAACAAATAGCTATTTTGTTGTGCCCTTGACACAGCAATGTCCGGGTGCTCCCGCAAGGAAACAACTGCTCTACAAAACATTCCCAAATATTAAACTGTGGTATCTTAATTATATCAAGATTAGGGCAACAATTTCATTTGACGTGGGGTTTGAGAACAGACTTGCGGAAAAGGAAGTGGAAAAAATGTAGCTTTCCAGCTGAGTAACCATATTTCTCCTATAAGCAACACATTTGCGTCCGGGTGCCGGTTGGTCGTCAGTACAAACTAAATCCATGACATATGAACTCTATGAAGAAGACATTCCATCCACTACATAATGTATTGACATGTACTCTAGTACCCTGACTAAAATATTTGTAAATCATTCAAGAAAAAGACGGATGTGAAACACGCGTGTCATAAGAAGCATGACACTGAAAATAGTTTTCCCGATCGGGATATGAAATTAAATATGCATAACACTTGCTTCTTCAAACAATGGATTTGATTAAGGATTATAGACACATATATCTTCTAATATTCTTAGTACTATTAATTGTTTTAATCTTATCAAGACTCATGTAACAACTAACTTAATAAATGATTGAAACAAAATTTACAAAATCCATAACCATACAACGCCTGACCTTTAACCTGCACTAACTGATACTCTTTGAGATCGAAACCATCAAAGCGATGCAAAAGGAAAAACGCGTATATTCTATCCGTTGTCAAAAGAACAACATTATGGTTATAAAGTCTTATAATAAAGCAAACGCCGAGACAATGAAAGCGGTGAATTAGTGTCGGATTGGGAATCAAAGTGGTTTAGGTGAATTGTTTGAAGCCTTTATTCTGGTGTCCTCTGCCGTCACACAAGGTTGCCGTAAATCGAACTCACTCACTCACACTGAGGCTGAATCACGTTCATATCAGCAATTTATATACTCTTTTAATGGGACAAATTGTATATTTATACCCTGTCTGTAGTACATGTACAGATACTTTGACAAATATACTTGAAACAGCCCATGCAAGGTTAGAATATGTGGCAAGCCCAGATTACCAAGATTTTAGTTTCTGAAAATGAAGAAGGTCTCTGGGTTCCTTTTTATCATATTTTATGAACATAATTTAGGAACCGTTTCCTTCTGTAATATACATGTATGTTCATTTAAATTAGATGTCAGTCTTCAAAACCCTCGTCGTTTCAGTATAGCAGGACAGATTCGGATGAAACAGTCATAACCTGCACTTCAGCACATCAGTACATCAGTACCGGAACATGGCTTCACAGCATGTT